AAACTGACGGTCTACCTGACAGAAAATAGTAATTATCGCCTGTAGACATGAACAGTACTATGGACGTAACGGAATATATTGTATCGCCCATGATACCTTTCATACATTACCATTTATAAAGATTAAGCTGTTATGCCTCTGTACCCTGTAATTTTATTGCTATATCCCAACTGTTAAACGGAAAAATAACCATGCAAACATAACTGCTTCACGGCAATAACATGAATGGGACAGACGACTTTGTACAAAAACTCTCTCTGATAATATTTATATACTCGTATATTACTTGAATGAGAGCATGTTGTTCCAAAAACAAATTTGGTCCGGTTACTGAACTACCGGAGACTGTGATCACGAGCAAAGGGATAAAACCAATCAGAACCTTACAGTTCCTTAAACGAATGGAGTAATATCTATTATAAAGTCCGTTAACAATCAGTTTATACTCATACATGCCTTAAACTTTGACCCCAATTAAATCAATTCCGATGTTAGAGAATTTAGTGGAAATTCAACGAGCTTCTAAAGTTGGGAACAAGTTTATAGTTAACTTTGAGAAGATTACTTGTGGAACATATGCGGGTTTATTTATATCTGTGCCTATTTAATCTGTACTTTTTAACATACCTTAAAATATCAGACTTTTGTTACCTCATAACTTTGTTAGTTATAAAACGATTTGGAAAATTCTTTTTTTATCTAAAAGGATATAATAACAGACTAGTTTTGTAGAAATTTTATCAATATAAATACAGTAGTGTAATTTTTAAATCAAAATAACTGGCTTTATTACAATTGAAGTCGCTCTTCTGTGTAATATAATTTTATATTATTCATTCTCATCTATCATCCCTAAATGGTACCTCGCTAGCGTATCCTAATAACTAAGGCGTGGATTTCTTCCATTAAAAAAATATATCTCCAAAACATACCTACGGAAAACTTTAAAGATTAAGTAAAGTGATAAATGGTATTTCTTTTGACCCGTAAGAAAAGTTTTTAGCTGTTGGTACAACCTACACTCCAGGGATGGAGGCGTGTGTTGTAGAATAAATTTTGGATATTGCTTTAAAATTATTCACAGTTGGATACAAATTGCATTGAAAATTAAATACCAAGTTCTGAATAACATGCGTACATATCTGCCACATCTGTCTCATATTAGGCTAGGCAGATATATTGGAATGCCAAATGCTCCGATTTAAAACCTTTTTCACTTCTTCCACATTCATCTTTTCATACACGCTCGGTTACGAATACTTTTAATTTGGCTTTTTACCATAAAGACGTCGTCTATTTTGTCAACGTATGCCCATCTAAATACTCCCCACCGACATCTCCATTCATTCGTGCTCGATAAAACTCTTTCGTAATTCTTCTTTCATCGATCCTCTCCAAATGGCCAAAACTAAGCAAAAATCCATTTTCAATTTTTGTCACTACATCGTCTTTTAATCCATATTTCTTTCTGATTACATTATTTCTCACTATATCTTTTAATGTAATACCACACACACGTCTCAGAAAAGTAGGCAGAAACAATGGAACGCCAAAGCCAAATGTTTGAATGACGAAATATAACATGCCAAAATAAAGTGGGTAGATATACTTTGGTAACATAAAATGACTTATACGTACAAAGCGCCTCACTTGGTGTAACCACTTACTTTTACAATTTATATTATTAGTAAGGATTGTAAAAAGGTTTAGGGTAGGTAAGTATACATTAATGTCTAATTATTAGGCTTACTACGTACTAACATTACGTTCAGCCCTACTTCTCATAAACATAAGCCTTAGAGCCTTCTGGTGTTCTTTTTAACTGCCATGCCAATAGGCTATTTCGTTTTCATCCAGCATTATTCACTGTATCCTCCACTCTTTGTTGAAGTGTATGCTTTCTGACCTTTACTTTGTCCTAATTCATGATTGTTGGCCAAAGTAACCTTATAAGCTTTATTAATTATAGAGGTGGTTATTTTAAGCGAGTTCAATTCCAGTAGCATAATATTTATACATAATGATATTGAAATAGTAAATGGTACGTAAAAGTAAGAATTTATTTATGCTATAGAACATATTAGCTATATCCCGGCTTCTGCTGTGTGAATTAGTATTTTTGTATGTATAAATATCTAATAAATTAGCATAGGATATGTCCTTGTCGTCACGGCATAGAATAAGCCACGCCTTGCTTTCCCGTGGGTGTCGTAAGAGGCCACTAAGGGAGGGTAAGGGATGGGCAGCAGAGTTCCTCTTAAAACATCTCTAAAGCCTAATTGCGGTTGCCAATCCGCCTGCCAAGCATGGCGACTACTGACAAAACCCCTAAGGGGGAGGCTTATGTTCAAAGGACAGTTAAAAGCTAATATGATGATAATGAAGTTAGGATATATCCTACACATATCCAGATTGTCTACATACCTACTAATATAATAAATAAGAAAGATTTGATTGTTTGCCTGTAATTCTTTTTAGGCAACTTAGAATGGCAAACAAATTGACGGCCCACCTGATGAAAAGTGGTATCTGTCGCCTATAGACATGAGCAGTATCATGGACATAATAGAGTATACTGTTTCGCCCATGATACTCCCAATGTGTTGCCATTCCTGAGGACTCAGGTGTTATTCCTCTGTACCCTGTAAATTCACTGCCATATTCCACCCTTTAAATCGAAATATAGCCATGCAAACATAACTGCTTCACGGTTGAAACACGAATGGGATAATATAATGGATAAACTTAAAAACTAGTCAACCGTTTTTAAAAATTCTTTCAACTGTAAAAAGCTATGTTATCAGCAAATAATAAGCTATATATTATTTTTGAAAATTCTATCTACCTGTGCGAAGCCGGGCCGAATAGCTAGTATTAAATAATTTAGATTTTAAAGCTCCAGGTGCAAATTTCTAACAAACGTTGTTATAATTGCTTTTGGTTCAAAACAATTTGTAATCTGTTAAAGTACAAGATAACTTTTTAAAGATATTACAGTTTTGAAGTTTAAAAGCGATTAGCAATTTAAAAGAGCTCCTTGATACTTATTGTATTAACGTTTTTAATCTTTTATAATCGATCAAGGATAAAACATACCAATTAAGAGAAAATTATAGAATACTATCAATTTCTTGCAGCTTTTCTCGCATTAAAAGTATCATGTATATTAGGGGTGGCCAACTTAACTAGACCCAAGATCTACTGTTTACTGGCGAAACCTTGTGCTATCTACCAATTACACACTTCTTGAAATCTCAAATAAAAAAAAAACTTAGTTTAGAACACAACGATAAATAAACAAATATAATAATGAAAATAATAAGTTTATTGGAAAACAGATTTTGTGTAGTTCTAAGAATTCTACTCTCGAAGAAGCATTGTCCGTTTATTATACAACATTATACAACAAACAATCTCAATATCACAGTTATAGAATCAGTAAGGAATTATATATGTATCATAAATATATGAAATGGAAGCTAATATAGGAAAATGTAACAAAAGTGACATAAATAATGTACAGCTTAGTGCGTATACGGTTATAGATAGTTTTCCCAATCCGCTCTTATTTTAATCCCGGCATTGCTCGGAATGATGATGAACTGAATACGTAATGGTCCCACATATACGCCGCCAGACTATAAGCTACGAGTATGATTCTGCCTCATATGACTTCGTAATTGAGATGTGCGGTCCTATATAGTTTTTTTTTTTATATATAGCAAAGTGCTGTTTGGTCCCGGTATACAATACGCCACTTCTTTTCCGTGGATATCACAAGAGGCGACTAAGGGAACTTAATGGTTGGGGGATGAGCAGCAGGGTCCCTTTTAAAATATTACCAAAGCCTAACTGCGTTTGACTGCGTTTGTCAACCCGCCTACCAAATGTAACAATTACTGACAAAACCCTCAATAGGGTTTTTTTTAATAGATGATAATGGAATGGTAACCCCACCCGCGTTATCGGTATACACCGGCGGGGCACCAGTGAAGTATGATAGGTGAGGATGAAGTAGGTCAGTTAGCCCATCGTGACGAATTCAACAAGAATTGTTCACGATGGTTTCCAGGGGGAACCACGTGGAGGTCGACATTGCTAGCAATAAGGCATATTGCTAGCAATGGGGCTGTCATACTCCATTTCTAACAATCCCTTCCCCCCTCCCTTCAATAGGGTTAGGTCTATGTTCAGTAACAGACAGTCAACAGCTGATATGATGATGATGATGATGATGATGATGATGATGATGTAGAAAATTAGCTATACGAAAATATCATGTTGCATTTGTAAGCAATGTTACCATATTAAGAGGCCAGATCTCTGGAATCTTCTTTAAATAATGGCAACGTTTGTATTCTAACTACTCTTCTTATAGAGCCAAATTTAAGTTTTGCCAGACGGATATTTACTTTGACATTCGTGGTACCCTGTTTATAAACGACGGTTAATTAAGGACGGTTACCATTCACCATTAGGTAGGCTACCAGCTTGTTCGACTTTTACACGTTGTCCGTAAAAATATTTGTTTCGAATCAGACCGACTCCAAATGCTTTGTTGCCAATTTTTTGGCTCCCTTTGTGATAACAGAAAACACTATTTTAAATCAAATTAATTCGAGATACGGCTGTTGGCAAGTCCTTTGTCGCGCTGAATTCTAATAAGTTCAGCGACATGTAAACAAGTTGAACATTACATTCATCATAGCGGTAATAACAAATACTTTGATAATCCCATCAAGAATTACAATTGTATGTATATTAAATGAGTTAAAGGACCACATGAAAATCAGCGTTGCATAAGTTCATCTCGCTGACAGTGTGCATATATAGCATTGGCTGAAGCGGCTCCTATTACCAGAAGAATGAATTCACTTTTTTCTTTTTTTATTGTTGTTTATTTTTTACCAGTAATTATTAGAATTATTGTTGTTAGTAATAGAGAATCTATCTATCTATTATTTTTATTATGAATTTTAATGTAACTTCATTTGTTACAGCCGAATGTGCTCCAACCCTTGCACCGTGGAAGCCATCTAATGAAGTCACTACAAGCGAATCAGTCCACAACAATGAAGCTCATGGCATATATGACATAAACGATATAGTACATTTTGAAGACAATGATATTGTAATGAGAGATGCTAAAACAGACGACCATAACAATTTAGACAATTCAGTTGAACAGTTCAAGAATTTCAGAATGGTGAAAGATGTTGCCAAAGTTAATAATGAATTCAATGATCAAATTAATGATTTGAACAATGATATGAGTAATGATTTAAAAATTGATAATGATAAAGCGGTGAGAACGGATAAAGGTGATGATAAATGTGAATGTCATCACGGCGGTGGATGCGTTGGTGGCGTGTGCTTGTGTCCATTGGGGTATGCTGGAGTGAAGTGCGAGATTACCTTAGACTTAAAGGTAAGATTTCACTTAAATAAGGATAGTAATAAACTGAACAAATTAAACATATAGTTCACGAACAAAAAAACGTGGACATAAATAGGCCAGCCAGTCATAAATAAAATCCCTACAATTGCTTGTTACAGCATATCTTGGATTACTAATATAATAAAATTATAACTAGAAGATGTTTAGATATATAAAAAAAAATATGGGGAATTTTAATAAGACGAATCCCAAAAAAATTTTTTTCGAAAAAAATTAATGTGTGTTATGTATGATTGTTTCGGTATCACGCGATAACTACTACACCAAATTAAATGCGGTTCTCATAGTTATGTTTCTAAAAATTTAAAATTAAAATCTGCTCATGTTTTATAATGATCAGTTATCTACAAGTTTGTTACATTGTTTTTTACTTCTAAAATTAACGCGTACGGATTTGCGAGCAAAAATCTAATGTATGCTATGAACAGTATAAATCGTTACTATTTTATAAAACATTATATTTTATATGAAATGTGTTTTCTATTTTAATCAACTTCAATTTCAGGTACCAAGGTTTAACGGGTCGTCTTACCTCCGCTTGCCAGGTCTCGGCAATTCAGCGCAGTCTTGGCTCGATATACAGGTAAATATCAAATTTATTAATCTGTACCACAGATAACATATATATGTTTAGGTAAGGACAGTTAGTGTAAGGATATATATCCTTATACTAACTGAAATATTTCCGAACCGATACGACAACATAACCTTCAAGAAAAGAGCATATTCCTTTTTAAAAGGCCGGCAGCACACCTGCAATGCCGTTAGTGTTGTGGGTGACCATGGGCGGCGGTAGTCACTTACTACCAGATGAGCCGCATGCTCGTTTGCACCCTGTGTTGTAAAAAAATCTTAGTTGTAAGAATACAGATAATAGATCTATTAAGTATCCTACTAATTTTATAAATGCAAAAGATTAGATGTTTTTTTAACTTATTGCGAGATGAATTTATACGACTAGGTCGGTAGTGACTTATATTCATTTTGTATTTCAACTGATTAACTATTGACTTAAAATTGACAATTGTTATGAAATAAATATGAACTTATACGAGTATAGTAAATGAAAAACAAAGAAAATATTTTTATGCAGCTTAGAATGGCAAACAAGCTGACGGCCCACCTGATGGAATGGACATAACTGAGTATACTGTTTCGCCCATGATACCCCCATGCGTTGCCATTCCTGAGGACTCAGGTGTAATTCCTCTATACCCTGTAAATTCACTGTCATATCCCACCCTTCAACCCGAAACACAACCATGCAAACACAACTGCTTCATGGTAGAAACACGAATGGGATAGAGGTGCCCAAGCAAACGACTTTTGTACAAAGTTTTCCTCCAATTAAATTAAATTTGTAACAATTAAATTTGTTGTCATTTATGTTCCGATTCTTGTAGTGAAAAATCGAAGGGAAGATTTAGTTTCATTTTTCATTAGTTTATAATAGAACTTAATGCGTGCAAAGCTAATAAAATAGTATAAAACTTTTTTTTATAATCTCCTAATGGCTAAAGATTTAAATACACCACGAAACGAGAGAAAATATGTACGTTTCTCCGAGTTTTAATAAACTTTGGTCTGTACTTTATACATTATTTATTTAATAATCTTTTGTAGACTGTTTACTGAAATCCTAAATCCTTTACCTTAGTAAATCTTTAGATTTACATAAAATTGTTAACTTAGCGAATACTTTTTGAAGTTTTCCTCGTTTGTAAACATAAAACGTGTCCCCTCACCACATCGTTGTTTTTTCATAAATAAACTCGGCAACTGCTAGTAAAACAAAGTAATAAGTCGACTTTCCTCATATTTTTTAAACAAGCGAAAACTTCTGTGTGGACGTTTAAAAGCTTTCACGGGAGAAAAAAAAAACAATTTGTTTAGGGAAAAAATGTTGGTGAAACCTTACTGATGTCACACGACAGCTTGCGAACTTGTGAAATAAATTGGCCATGACTTAATATCTGTCACAAATGCTCCTCTTCGTCTTTTGATGTGAAATGTTCTACGTTAGAGGGCGTAAAGCAAATGCAGGCTTTTTAATTCGCTGTTCTCTTTTGAAATTTTATGTTAATATTCTGCCCGCAGTATATATTTATATTTGACGTTTCCATAGGTATCTTCAAATTTTTGTGTACATTTTGTCGTAGTAAATCATTTAGGTTTATTTACGAATTGAGAATAAGAATTACTAAAGCGATAAATTTTTAAGATTATATACCGATAATACAAAGGAACTTATGGTAAGACTCCATCTATCCGATCCTGTCCGAGTACTGTCTTTAATCTATGGTTATATCTATCATATAGGAATTGTTCGGGTATAACGAAAGTGTATAACGAAAGCGGTCTGAGAACTCTTGGCGCTAGAAGACGTTATTCTTCTGATATTTATGGGCCAATAAGTTGAGCCAAAATACTTCAAAATCTGAAGACGAAGATCTTTAACCATTACGTGTTGCCAGTGATGACCTACGAAACAAAAACACACCTATCCTATACGGGTACTTGTATGCAAAAGCTTCGAGTTACTCAGCGCAATACGAAGAGAGCTATGCTTGGAATGAGGATATCCGTAAAAAAAGTAACCCACATAGCCCGAAGGATAAGCAAGCTGAAATGAAAATGGGCTGCTCACATAGTTCGAAGAACTGATAACTGATAGGAAAAAAGGTTCTTGAGTGGTGACCCCGTACGACCAAATGCAGTGTAGGACGACCGTCCACTAGATGGAGTGACGACCTCAAATGTATCGCAGGGAGTCAATGAATACAGGTGGTTCAGGACCGTTCCTTATGGCAATTTATGGGGAGGCATATGTTTATCAGTGGACGGATACCTGTGTTCTAGGTTGTGGGTCCAGACGTTTATTGTCTGGTCCTGTTCTTCATTCTGGTGATTGTGTGGCATTTCTTTTTTCAGATAACTCTCAAACCGAGCGACGGTGATGGTTTGGTGCTATATAATTCTGAACATGCGAGCGGGGATGGTGACTTCTTTTCTCTCCACCTCAGAGATTACTTCGTGGAGTTCGCTTTCGATCTCGGTTCAGGCATCGCGCTGGTCAGGTTAGTTTTGTTAGGCAAAATCAAAAATGGTATCGCAAGAACGCCACTCACTATACAACTGAAACATAAATACCCCAAAAACACTGACTACCACAGATAATAACTAAAGCCCTTGCCTCCGGACGACTCCTCAATAAATTAACAAATATTTACAAGCACCCACTTATGTCTAAATCATCACCACCAACACCTGAGAAATAAATCCTGAATATCACATAAAACACGCACGACTAATCAAACATCCCACACTTCCTACTCCCTTCCCATGCCCGGGCAGGAGATAGAGTATCCCAATTGCACACTCATTTTTGCCATAAAAGGGCATTCCCACTGACAAAATATCTGCCCATACACTGGCAGAGCACCAGTGATAAATAGTAGGTGAGGTGTACAGTGATAAATAGTAGGTGAGGATGAACGTAAGGCAACTGCCTTACGTTCTTTACTTACGTTCGTACGTTACGTACGGACGTAAGCCAACTGGCTCATCATAATAAATTTCACAACAATTAAATATGATGGTTTCCGTAGGGACTTCAAAGAATTAAATCTTCACAGATCTGCCTACCCTCTGAAACCAAACACCTGGCATCGTGTATCAGTAAGCCGTTCTGGCAAGCATGCATCTCTACGTGTTCGGACATCGTCACCTGTTGACGTCAGTGTGACGTCGCCACGAGAGAACGATGCAACCAGATCAGTGACGTCACGAGGAGCAGCTCGACGGCTCACTTTACGACAACCGATGCTCCTGGGAGGAGCGCCTCATCCCTTACCTCCTAGACTGGCTTTGCGAACGTCGTTTAGCGGATGTGTTGGACAAGTAAGTTGCTAAGTACTTAATAGATTTTTTATACTACTTTAGTAGCAAACAAGCATACGATCCATGTGATAGATTTTTTTTAATGGATGACAATGAAATGGTATCCTCGCCTGCGCTAACGGTATACAGTGGCGAGGCACCAGTGTGGGATGATAGGTGAGATGAAAGGGCAAGTCAATTGGCCCATCGTGATTAATACATCAGGAAGTCAACACGATGGTTTCCAAGGGGGCCACGTGAAGATTGACCTGACAAGGCATATTGCTAGCAATGGGACTGGTAGTCCGCATTATTAATAATTCCTTTCGCCCTCCACCTGATGGCAAACGCGGTTACCGTAGCCTATGAACGCCTGAAATACCAGATTTTATTCGCCAATTATGAGAAATTTGGCAACAAAAATCTGGGAGCACAACTCAGAATATCCAAACCCGAACTAATTTAGAAAAACCCAAGTCCTGATTTGGTCACACCAAGAATGGAATGCGGAATCTCATTTAAGCAAAAATGCATCAGATGGACCATGAAGGATGAGCATGAAAGTAAATAGATATAGGCAAGATAAATATCTTAAAAAGAAACGTATAAATTGTACGAAAAAGTTGTAATCGTTTTTATTGTAACAAGTGGGATGTCGGAATCAAGACTGCTACAAAATATAATAGATAGATAGGTAGCATTAAAGATTATATTATAAATATACCTACTCTTATTCCAGTTGGTGATAAACGATGAAGAGTTGGCAGTGGTAGCGTCAGCACTGGGTGGATTAAATGTGGACAATTGCGACGAACCTAACAACACAACGTGCCTGTAAGTGTTTATATGTTTTTTTTTATCAATTTAATAGTATGTAATTATACACTAAAATTAAAACTTTGTTTTAATTTTACAGCAGCAGCGATTTGTGCAGAGAAATGCTCGAACCAATACCCCAATATCCACAGAATATATCCGAGAATGATATCCACCATTCAATTGTGGCGAAAAAGGGGTTCAGACCTAAATACCACAAAGTGAAAGCAAAGAAACACAGTCAACATCTGCACACGGAGAAATATAAGAAGAAGAAGTTTTTCGCAAGTAAAAAGCACCAGTACTTACAAGATACAAAAAGTAATGACGTCATAACTGAAGGTCCTGTTTATGATGGTCAGACGTATATGCAAGTGAAGTATTTAAATTCAAATGAAATCAATTGGGGAGACACGAACACTTATCCAAGCTTCAGTGGAATTGATAGTTTTATTCATATTGACGATGAAGAGACTATGAAAAGGTGAGTACTATGTGAAATTGAAATAGATTTAAATTTCATATTATATTTACATTATATTGTTAGTAATCGGAATTCTAGTGCTAGCATTTTACCAGATGAACATGCATTTGTAGTGGAAGTAATGTAAAGCTTAATACATAAAGAGCGTAACTTAGTAGTACAGATTTTTTTAAACGGTATCTTAACTGTTTACTTGATAGGTGAAAATGGAATGGTAACGCTTGTGCCATCGGTATATGTTAATAAGGTACTAGTGAGAGATGATAGGTGGGAATAAAATCAGGTTAGTTAGGCCATTGTGGCGAATTCCACAAGAATCAACTACGACAGTTACTAGAGGAAATCCCTTGGAGATTGACCTGATAGGGTAGGTAGGTAGGAAGGGATGCTGTTAAACTCTTTTTTAATAATCTCTTCCCCTCAGTAATTCTACCTGTGCAGTAGTATGTGATGCTAGTATACACTGCCGGGGCATCAGTAAGAAATGATAGGTGAGAAAGAAGTCATTGGTCTAACGTAATTTTTTTTTTTTGATAGATGAAAATGTAATGGTAACCCCGACTGAGCTAACGGTATATGCTGGCGGGGCACCAGTGAGGGATGATACGTGAGAATGAAAAGGCTCATCGCGATGAATACACCTGGAATTCAACACGATTGTTGACATGGTTTCCTGGGGGGATTACGGGGAGGTCGACCTGATAGGGTATATTGCAAGTAATGGGACTGGGGGGACAGGGATTATTAGTAATGGGGTCTAACTGACCCATTACTAGTATATCCGGTCGACCTCTACACGGTTACCCTGGAAACCAACGTGGTTGATTCCGGCGGAATTCGTCGCGAAGGACTGACTGAACTATTTTCATCGTCACCTATCATCCCTCACTGGTGCTCTTCTAGCGTAAACCGATAGCGCAGGCGGGGTAACCATTCCATTATCACCTATTAAAAAAAAGTATTGTAACTGGTTATCCGCATCACTAACAAACCCTTCCTCCGAGAGGGTTCTCGGGGGAAGGGTTTTGTTAGTAGTATATTTAAACTACTAAGAATAGCATTGTTAACTGCCATAAACGTGGTTTGTCGTTGGGTGCGCGGGCGCGGGTCGCAGGCTGCTGAGCTACTCGCTGGACATCAACATCCGGTTCCGGTCGGAGCGCGCGCGCGGGCTGCTGGTGTGGTCGGGCCGCGCGCGCGCGCCGCCCGCCGACTTCCTCTCGCTCGCCGTCGAGGACTCCGTGCTCGTCTTCAGGTCAGCTCGCTTCACTCTCCACTCACTTTCAACTGTGTCATGCAAAATGGTGGAAAATCCACACCTGTGACGTCCCGTGAGCGGACTTTACACACACTAGGTATTTTTAGCGTATAGGTTTAAAAAAAACTGATGTTCCCGAAATCTAATTGGAATTGTACAAAATTCAAATTAGGTTTATATTTCAACTAGATTTCTTTATGTAACTTCTTACACTACACTTGACTTTGAATTGCATTGCAACTGTTCTATGAAAAATAAAATGGGGTCACCTAACTTACCTTTTATTTTTCAATTATTAAAAAACTGAGACCTTGCTGGATGTAAAATTATATGTTTCTTGTACAATATTATATACTTGATAAAATAAAAATAAAAAGGCTTATGTTCCAATAATTTTGTTTTATACAGCACTCGTTTAAAAACATGGACCAAAAAAGTCCCTCTTCAATTGACGCTTAAGTGGGCCTCCTATTTCATTATTTTACGTACATTCTTGGCGGTAGGGACAAGAGGTGGTTTGTTTACAATAATTTAAGCTTATCGCCAAGCTAGTTTAAACAAAACAGTATATATGACATTATTATCTATATGTCGGCTAAGCGGACGCGACACAGATTCGCATTTTCTGTCGCGTCCGCTGAGCGGACGGTTGAGAGGTTGCAGCAGCACCCATGCTGCATTACAGCGACTTATTGGCAAAACAAGCTAATGGGACATGGTAATCTATATACATGAACAGTACCTATTGATATCAAAGATTACTGCAATTACCCTGATACCTTTTACGTTTCCCATTCCAAAGTACTTACTAAAAAGTTTTTTATCGCAACTCAGATTTTCAAAAATAGCTACAACTAAAAGTAAAAATAAAAACAGGCCAAAGATTGACCATTATAAATTGTTTCCTGTTAATAAATACCTTATTTCACTAATATAATTGTACTAGTAACTAAACAATGTTAATTAATTTTTTAAAATATCTTAAGAAATGGCATAAATTAGGTCACTCCTTCCTTTCTCATGGCTGTCGTAAAAGGCGACTAAGAGAGAGCAAAGGATGGGCAACAGCGTTCCTTTTAAAATATGTCTTAAGCCTAACTGAGGTTGCTAATCCGCCTGCCATGCATGGAAACTACTGGCAAACCCCCCCCAAGGGGGAGGCTTATGTTCAGCAGTGGACAGTTAAAGGCTGATAGGATAATATGACGATGATCTTAAAAAGATAATCGAAGAGGTCTTTAAAGTACCAATAGATACCATAAAAACAATTTTAAGAAATTTTGTCTGTCTATCTATATGTTTGTTTCGATATCACGCAAAAAATACTGCACAAAATCGGATGCAGTTGTCACAATTGTATTTATGAAGGTTTAACTCAAAATCTGGTGCAAGTTTTATCCGATATACAATCTAGAAATAGCCCCTTTTATTAAGTTCTCCGTTTCTGTAATCCACGCGTGTGAAGTATGGGATAAAAAGCTAGTGAATGTAAGATATGAAATTAAAAATGGCAATCATGACAGTAATGGCGTTCATACGATCTGAAATAACCACGAAAAAACGTTGAATAATTCTTAAGTACTAATATCAAATCTTTATAATTTTCAGATATGATTTGGGCAGCGGTGAGGTGGTGATCATAGCAAACCATACAAAAGTTGATGACGGCTTGTGGCATAGGGCGAGAGCGACCAGGTAAATTTCAAAACTATTAGCTTCCTCCCGCTTTTTTTATGCAACTTAGAATGGCAAACAAGCTGACGGCCCACCTGATGGAAAGTGGTCATCGTCGCCTACAAACATGAGCAGTACTGTGGACATTACCGAGTATACTGTTTCGCCCATGATACCCCCCATGTGTTGCCATTCCTGAGGACTCAGGTGTTATTCCTCTGTACCCCGTCAATTCACTACCATATCCCACACTTCAAATTGAAACACAGCCATGCAAACACAACTGCTTGACGGTAGAAACACGAATGGGACAGAGGTGACCAAGCAACGACTTTTATACAGTCTCCCTCTGGTCATATTGTCTGCCTAAATAAAGAAAGCAATAGGCGAAATATGGGCGAATCCAAGTTAAAATACACGATGTTGCATGCACAATGAGTGTTCAAATTTACATCAGGCATACAGGTATAGAATTTGTATTAAGTTGTACAATTACATACATAAGTTGAAATTTTAGCTAGTATGACTACCCTGTGGTCCCGGCATAGAATGGGCCACAATTACATATATAAGTTGAAATTCTAGCTAGTATGACTACCCTGTGGTCCCGGCATAGAATGGGCCACAATTACATACATAAGTTGAAATTCTAGCTAGTATGACTACCCTGTGGTCCCGGCATAGAATGGGCCACAATTACATACATAAGTTAAAAATTCTAGCTAGTATGACTACCCTGTGGTCCCGGCATAGAATGGGCCACAATTACATACATAAGTTGAAATTCTAGCTAGTATGACTACCCTGTGGTCCCGGCATAGAATGGGCCACAATTACATACATAAGTTGAAATTCTAGCTAGTATGACCACCGTGTGGTCCCGGCATAGAATGAGCCACCCTTCCATTCTCGTGAGTGTCGTAAGAGGCGATTAAGGAAACTTAAAAGTTGAGGGATAGGCAGCAGTGCCCCTCTTAAAACGTCACAAAAGGCTTACTAATGTTGCCAACTCGCCTGCCAAGCCTGGCAACTATTCGCAAAACTTTTCTTCACGGGGGAGGTCTATGTTCAGCAGTGGATTGTTAATATCTTATATATTAAAAATAATATAATAATATTTAATAAAATATAAAAATCTTTACAGAAATAGACAAGCTGGTGTTCTAGAAGTAGATGGCTTGGGTTCTGTAGGGAAGGTGTCGCCCGGGAAACTGAAACAGTTAAACACTGAAAATGGACTCTATATAGGTAAGTAAAAGGTTGCTTTTATATATTAGAACAGAAACAAAGATTGAGAACCAAAAAAATTACTAGAAAATACCTAACACATATATAAAATGTGATAGATTAATCTCGATTTGTTAATTTTCATCTTTGGATCAATCATTCTTATTTATTTTATTTATTTATTAATTTAACGCAAACAAACAGCTAAAATAATACATAATTATATATTTAAATAGTAATTTAGTAGCCACTAGAATTTGCACAAAATAAAATACAAGTAAACGAAACACAAAATTAGACAATACATTCTTAAAAATATAGATTAATTGTAAATTAATGCATTATTAGGTAACGACCTAACAATGACCAAAGAATGACGTCTTAAACCCATGACGTCACCAAATTAATTCAGACGTATGTTTATGTATGTTATATTTTATTTTACATTATTGCCTTCTAATTTTTTTTTATACCACTGAGGTGGCAAACAAGCATACGACCCACCTGATGGTAAGCGGTCTAATTTGTCTTCTAATTTGTTTATTAATATAAAATCAAATAAACATTAAACGTTAATCTATTAAAGAAAATTTGAATTAAATTAAAAGAGATCGTAATAAAAACATAAAATGTATTATAAAATGACAAAAACTATATGTTGACCATGTTTGGTAGAGCTTCAAATAGAAATTATAACGATATAAAGTCTAATTTCGTTATTTCCTTTGGAATAGAGTGTAAGTGATGTAGTAATATAGGTAAAAACAAGGCACTTTTTCATATTAAAAAATAATTCTGACAGGAGTTAAAGATGAAGTTGTTAGGAATGTGTAAATAAATGAATACACTATTGTTATTATATAATCGGTGATATTTGTATAATAATCTGTATTCTATCTGGTTTATCAAAGCCTAATTAAAAAAAAAAAGTTATTGTTTCTCTCTCTCTCTCTGTCTCTCTCTCTCTGGTTTTATAAAATAAGAATAATATTATAAATCTACTGCACAAAACTCGAGAAGTACAAATTTTTTTTTATACAACTTAGAATGGCAAACAAGCTGACGGCCCACCTGATGGAAAGTGGTAACCGTCGCCTATAGACACGAGCAGTACCATGGACATGACAGAGTATACTGTTTCGCCCATGATACCCCCCACGCGTTGCCACTCCTAAGGACTCAGGTGTTATTCCTCTGTACCCAGTAAATTCAGGCCATATCCCACCCTTCAAACCGAAACACAGCCATGCAAATACAACTGCTTCACGGTTAAAACAAATTCTTTTAATAACAATAAACTACTATACTACAAAATGCCAACTAATCGTAAACTAGTATAAAAAAAAAAAAAACTAAGTTTTGTCCAATATGTGAAAATGTAGTGGTGTACATTTGCGCTATCGGTATTCACAGGAGAGACATTAGTGGGTACAATAGGTGAGAATGAACGTAGATTAGTGAGCCGATCGTGATGACCAAGAGGGACCGTGTAGAAGTCGATCTGATAGGCTATATTGCTTGCAATAGTGCTATTAAGAAACAACAACTTCTCTTCCTACTACTATTATTGCTCAATATTCTTAGCTGGAATTAATTATCGAATTCCTGAATCGATATTGATGATTCTTTTTAATCTAAAGTTTTAAATTTTATATTATTATTGAAACATAATTAATGATTTTTTTTTTATTTCAGGTGGCTTACCATCAATAGAAATTAACACCATGGGCAAATACAAAACCGGCTTAGTGGGTTGCGTCTCACAAATATCACTAAGTGGGGACTTCGATATACCACTGACGTTATCAAAATTACCACATACAATCACAAACAACGTTGGCAGATGCACCCCATAAAAATAGCCAATTCATTTAAATGAATCAATAGGTTCATTTAAGTGAATCCACTTTTGTTATGAGCGCAGAGTCCTGGTTCATTTATTTCCATTCTAAATGAACTTACATGAATCCATGAGTTTTCGGTTCATATATTTTCATTATAAATGAACCAGACAATTATGTGCGTATAATATAATGTTAGATGTGTTTTGATAAGTTCATTTATTTATCAAGCAATTAATTGTTTAAACTTTGGTTCTTTTTTAAATGAATGACCAATTATTTTTTAAAATAACTCCGTAACTACATATCAAAGTAAAACTTATCGGAGGCAATAAACTACAATACGATCAAATTGATGTCAGGTAATATCTTTACATGAGTTTACACAACGTAATAAAATAATTAAATAATATACTCTTAGTCAATTTAGAAATAAGTAAACTGATGAGTCTTTTGAACTATAGTTTGTTTCATATACTGATTTCTGATAAAACAATTATTAATTTTAAACTTATTCACATACTTTCATCTTTTGATTTCCATGGACGATGGAGTAACTTTTCAAAGTGCTTTACTATCTAGTAGATATGAAAAAAAAAAACTATTTGTAATGTTAAAATAAATGAAATTCTAGTCGTACGAGTGGTTTGCACGCATTTCGGTTCATTAATTTTCATTTTATACGAAATAGCGTATCACAAACTTGTTACAATGTGAGTGTATTTTATAAATAGTTCAATAAGTATACATACATAGCGTTTGTATATCGGAATTTTCATATGGACGTGGTTTTAGAACATTGTAAGTAGATATAACGATCTGTTTATTTTTACTTATTTTATTTGATAAACAAACCTTGTGAGTTTTTTTAAATGAAAATACTATCTATAATAGTATACAACGATGATTAGTGTTTTCATAAAAAAAAAATACTTATCCTAACAATTTGTTTAATTTATTAACCATTCCAGTACACCGAAATTGTTTATCAAATAAAACAATAAAAAATAAATAAATAGATTATACCATAGTGTTTGATAATTGAGCTTTTTATATTAAGTGTTAATCGTAACCTAGCTTTAGTTTGGCAATTCATTTGGTTCGCTTTATTAAATGACAAAACATGTTTTAGCACCGCTTTAGTAATATAATCATAGAGTATATTTATCAGGTAGTGTAATTTTAAATGCGCTTTGTATGTATAAATTTAATAAATATTATAGGTTCTGGGACAATTAATACAATCCTCTGAAGTAAATTCAAGGGCATAAAATATAAAAGTATAAGTATGTACACGATATGTGAAAAATAATTAGACAAATATATAAATTTATTTAGAGAACTCGTAAGATACTTTGTAGGAATGGATGATCTTCAAAAAGGGTGTATTAAGGTTTTTTCAGGGCCGGCAACGCGCACGTGACACCTCTAGTGTTGCAGACGTCCATAGGCTATAATGACCGTTTACCTTCAGACGGGCTGTATGCTTGTTTGCCATTTTTGTGGTATAAAAAAAGAATGGTTTTATAAATGTCTGTTTGATTAAGACTATAGTTTCTGTCTAGGTACTTTAATGAAATATGGACGTAAAGTATAAGTATGTATGTAGATAATATGGTATATTTCTGTTTTATCTAACTCCGAAAAGGAGAAGACTCGTAAATTCGCAAAGTATAAGAAATCAACATTGCATTATGACAAATTTGCGAAAATGGTTGACTTTATAAATATTACAGTCAGTCACTTATTAGAATTAAGTAGCATAATGTTGTTATGATTAAATGTCAGCGACTGAATGTACTCAGAGGATTGTAAGTTCCCTAGAAGCCTAAAATTGTGAATTGGTTATTTAATGAATACGACTTTCCAAAAATATTTTGCTTTATAAATTTTTTAATGAAATCGTTGCACATCAAACAAAGCGCAGCTCAGATTTTAAATGTCAAAACGTTTTCGATTTAGCATTAATATAATATCGAAAATATATTACCATATCTATAAATAAGATACAATGTGACTCTTAATGAAGGAATCGCTACAAATTTTATAGTCGTTCCCTCGCACAATCTACGTGTGTTTTTAACACGTCTGATTCACTGATAAAGATGATACTGCCGAAAATTATCCTTTAATAATACACCTCGCCAAATGGACTAACTAAAATAAAACTTTGAGGAATCTGTGAGTGTAGTGTCTGCGCTGCGCAACGCCAGGTGTGAATTGGCCCTAAAAATGTTCATTAAATAATCAAAGAGCAACATGTATTTCCATAAAATTTATGAACCCATCGCTGGGATTTCATTTACACCAATAATTTTTGTCAATTACGTATTTCACAGGGTGTGAATACTTTTATAGAATGCATATCTTTATTGTGGTCTGACTCGATGTTCAGTTGTCGGTATTTTCATTTAACCGACTTTAAGAAAGGGAGATTTCAACTTAATGATTTTTGTATGTCTATCTATATTAAATGACATTTTCATTTACTGTGAATATTTTTTTGATTAATTACCATATCAAAAAAATTCCGAAATAGTCCCATATTTTACATAGTTTCTTAAAATTTTAATCGGTATTTTGTTTAAAATATGTATTATTTTTTAGTTTATATTATTGTCTGGTTTTATGGATAGAGATGTGCATCAAAGAATCATTCAATATTCTGAACGAATGAAAATATATGGTTTTCATTCTTTCAGAATTCATTCATTCATTCTTTATGCTTCTAGAACTAAATATACCGACTGAATACACATTGATTTTATTGGATTGTACCTATTATACGTACGCTTACTTATCTTGAGGTACAAAAAAAAAATACAAAAAAGTAATTTAACATACAATAAAAAATGCATAATTTTATTAATGATGTACCTAACTTAAATAATATTTCATTATTTATCGATGAATCTTCCGCAGAAGCAAGACAAAAAGCTACGTTAATTATTTTGTTGTTTCACAAAAAAAAACTGAACTATTACATTTGTTTATTGTAAATGATACATTCTAATCTTGTTTTCGAGTAAACGTAGACCTACTTGTGACATATTGATAGCTTGACTAGTGTTAGTTTTGTATGTGAAACCTGTCCGATGTATAATATGCCGTTATTTGTACAAAATTATATCAATAAAATATGATTAAAATGTATATAGATGTTGTTTAATTTATCTCAAGTGGAATATCCGCTGCGCACGTGTTAATGAGGTGTTTATGATTAATCGGTTTTATCTTTATAATTCATTTCGAAGTTTGTTTAATATATACTTACAACATATGCATATGTGTGCGTGCACACATATATGCATATGTTGTGCACACATGTGCACAACATGTGTATGTTGCGCACATACGTGCGTGCGTTGTGTCTGCGTTTGCGTTTGCGTGTGCGTGTGCGTGTGCGTGTGTGCGTGTGTGCGTGTGTGCGTGTGTGCGTGTGTGCTTGTGTTTGTGTGTGTGTGCGCGCGTAAATATGTATATGTGTGTGTTCATATGCCGACTTCAATTGTACCAAAATCAATTGTTTTGATTTCAAAACTAAACTAAAAAAAGTTTTTTGAATAATATCGTGTGATATCTATACTTATAATAAATCTGTAGAGAGGTCAATTCTGTACATGAAATATATTTCCAAAATAACTATCAGGGGGTGATTAGTGATCGATACTGATGCCAGAAATACAATCAGTAAAATTTTTGTCTGTCTGTCTGTATATTCGTTATAGAAACAAAAATTACTCGACGGATTTTAACGAAACTTGGTACAATTATTCTTCATACTCCTGGGCAGGTTATAGTATACTTTTCATCACGCTTTGATGAATAGGAGCAGAGCAGTGAAGGGAAATGTTGGGAAAACAGGAGAAGTTACTCCATTTTTAAGCTTCCGTCGCATCACCATTAGGGCTGCACGCCTTAATGGTCAATAACTACAAGAAACTTCGCGATACTATATGTCAAACTATTATCGTTATGTATATATATATATTGTAAAAAATACAACTGAATCGAGAACATCCGTCGTTTTGAAGTCGTTTGAAACTAAACTATGCATTCGAGTAAAAGCGAACGACGTAGCGTAATTATGAAATGACAATAATAATTAAATAACATTGTTAATTAATTTATATTGATTAATTAGGTATTGGCCATGAACAATATATTTAGCATTGTGACACGTAATCCAATTTTTAAAATGGGATTTAATTTTTTTTTTTTATATTAGCTCATTACTCCGTTAGTTATAAACTAATATGGAAAATTCTCTTTTTATCTGAAAGGGCACATTTACAGATTAGTCCCGTAGAAATTTTATCAAAATCGGTTTAGTAATTTTTAAATCAAAGTAACTGATTTCACCGTATTTGAAGTAGGTTTTTTTAGAACATAATCTTATCTTAAATAACTTCAAAAATATTTATCTTAAAATTATAAAAAAAATATATTTGAAATACTCATAATAAGGCCTTTTATTTAATACATCACACGATATAGTATGGAAAACTTTTTTAAATTTTTTTAATTTATTTCCTGTACATTTAAAAGTGCAGTTTTTATATACCTTGTTTAAAATCCATATATTACTTTAGTACTATTACTTATATAGTGCTTATACTATGAATACTAAACAATGAAAATACTTAAATGCTTTTTTTTATTGTAAATACTTTATTAGACAAATTAATAATCTTTTTTAATTATAACCCCTTATAGAAAACATCCAGATTAATACAAACATATCTATTTATGTATATAAATATATGTATTATGCAAAAATAAAGAAAAATATATTTCCTTACTTTTTTATTAACTCAAAAAAAAAAGGTAATGAAATATAGACGCTATTAAAAGTATAGGTCTGTACATATAATAATCAGAGAACACGGAAAACCCGTGTCTGATAATTAAAATGTGAACGAAACGGGGTTTGATTACAAATACGTATTCAAGTTCTCTCTTCCTACTATACGGACGTAAAAACCCATTATTGTGGTTCAACATACTTTATGACTCAACAATTGTGTATCATTCACTCACAGCTACAATTTCGTTCATTCAAAATGCAAACAATCATTCTGTTAGTCGGCGTGAAGTGCTCGTGTCTATTAGACGTTTTATTTCGTCCTCAATAAAGTTTGTTTGAAATTTGTTTTTTTTGTTATTTAAAGTACTGGATAGTGTATTTAAAAAAAGAACAATAATAATAAACAACTTTTGAGTGGTTAATTAATAAAAATTGTTGAAGAATAAGTATTAAATTTTGTGAATAAACGAGATTACAACATTTTTAGGCCGGGCTCAGGAATTTTGTACCGCGTAAACATTGTGAAATCTCTAGTGCTTTTTTTTTTGTGATTAATAATTTATTATACTAATTAAGTGTTCAAAAAATTTTTGACGGATTGTGAACGCACAAGTGTACAGCCAGACAACCTTGCATGACCGGTTTTTTCGTAAGTATCGAAAGTAAAAGTTTGAATTACCTATTGAACGTGAATTGAATTCAAGTAAGAGAAATACAGTTAAGTAAGCTTGCAAACACTAAGAATGATTCTTATACAGTGTTTACTATTATGTTTAATGTATATTAAGTAGTTTTAGTTTTTACTAAATAGAAAATAAAGATAAATACTTGTGCCTTTAAGTTCTTACGAATGCGAGTGTAGGATGTTTGTTGGTAAGACTCGGTTGTGTTGCATCTTATGCAACGGTAATACCAAAGTGGGTATTTTAATATTTTATACATTTATTTTTATTTAAAAACAAAATATAAATTTTTATGTTATACTATTTTGGATAATAGATAATATGTAGAAAAGTGTTATTTTTTTAATGGGTGATAATGGGGGGGAGAGGAAGGGGTTGTTAACAATGAAGTTTGTCAGCCCCATTGCTAGCAATATGTCCTATTAGGTCGACCTCCACGTGGTTCCCCCTGGAAACTATCGTGAACAATTCTTATTGAATTCGTCACGATGGGCTAACTGACTTGCTTCACCTCACCTATCATCCTACACTGGTGCCCCGCCGGTGTATACCGATAGCGTGGGTAGGGTTACCATTCCATTATTACTCATTAAAAAAAAAATGGGTGATAATGGCATGGTAGCCCCGCTAGTGGCGATGAAAGCAGGTCAGTTAACCCATCGTGATGAATTCCACTAGAGTTAACCACGATCGTTTCCAGGGAATCCACATGGAAGTCGAACTGATAGGGTGTATTGCTAGCAATGGGTCAGTTAGACCCCATTACTAACAATCCCTTTCTCCCCTGTAGGAGAGTGTAGTGCCTAAATACTTATCGAGACAGAAGTCTTACAGGTCACGAATTCGAATCCAGTAGAAACTAAGTAAACGTTAATTAATACTGATCATTCGACAAATTTTTTGCTGTTAGATTTTTAATAAACTAAATTGATTTAAGATTCGATTGTAGGCTTGCCATCTTCTGGCCATCACAATGAGTTCAAACGCCTTGAGATTGCTAGAAATAGGTTTGCTTATAATCACTTTTCTCCTACCAAATTTGTTTTAACAGCTTTTTTTTTACAACTTAGAATGGCAAACAAGCTGACGGCCCACCTGACGGAAAGCGGAAACCGTCGCCCATAGACTTGAGCAGTACCATGAACATAACAGAGTATACTGTTTCGCATGATACCCCCCCATGCGTTGCCATTCCTGAGGACTCAGATGTTATTCCTCTGTACACTGTAAATTCACGCCATATCCCACCCTTCAAACCGAAACACAGCTATGCAAACACAACTGCTTCACGATTGAAACACGTACCTACAAGTACCCAAGCAAACGACTTTTGTACAAAGTCCCTCTGGTAAATCATCGTTTGGTAATCAGGTATTTACTCACTAGCGTACACTTAAAGCACAAGCGGAGTTACAATTTTAATTTAATTTTTAACTTGTATGTATGTATGATACATCCTCATCGTCATATCAGCCGTTATCTGTCCACTCCTGAACTCTAGGCCTCCCCTCTAAACTGCCAAAAGGTATGATTCTGAGCTACCTGCATCCACTGACTCCCTGCAATGCATTTTAGATCATCACTCTATCTAGTGGGTTTTTTTAAAAATTGGATGAAAATGGAGTGGTAACCCCGCCTGCGCTAATGGGATACGCTGACGGAGCACCAGTGAAGGGTGATCGATGAGGATGAAAACTGGCCAGTTAGCCCATCATTATGAATTCATCAGGAATTAATCATGATAGTTTCCAGGGGGAACTGCGAGGAGGTCGACCTGGTTGGGTATATTGCTAGCAATGGGATTCTTCGTCTCCATTACTAACAATCCCTTCCCCCTATCTAGTGGGGTATTCTACATAAGTAGATCTAATGTAAAATAACATTAAAAGCTAATTATTTTCTCTCTAACTGCATTGGTTTGGCTGGAAGAGATTTCTTTTAGAGATAAGCCCACCTTTGCTAACAAGTTGTTAAAGTAAACACTGTATCTTTTATAATTTATTTATATATATATATATATATATATATATATATATATATATATATATATATATATATATATATATATATATATATATGTATATAAAGTCTACGAAACATAATCTACGTGCCCGATTAACCCTTAGTCACTCGAAGACTGTTCTCCGAATAGTAGGAAATGAGAACACCTCCAAAAATCTTGACTGACAATACGTACCGGATCAGACTTAAAAATAAAACATAATTAAAAAGAAGAGGAGAAAATAAAATACAAAATTATTCAGCAATAATACAGTCTATGTCTTCGTCCATTGAGTATATAACATAGAGTATACCTAATTGTATAACAAATTTCATAATATTTGGTTGAGCATTTAAGGTGCCAAGAGGTAACAAACCAACAAACATACATAAACGACGATAATTATAACACAAAAAAAAAAAATATTAATCGACGAAATAACTTTTTTTTTAATCACTGTGTATATTTATGAAATTGCCGGGTGTGTTCCAGCATAGAATTGGCCACCTCTTCCTTTCCCGTAGGTGTCGTAAGAGGCGACTAAGGGAGGGCGAAGGATAGGCAGCAGCGTCCCTCTTAAAACATCTTTCAAAGCCTAACTGCGGTTGTCAACCCGTTTGCCAAGCGTGACAACTATTGGCAAAGTTCTCTGTTATGGGGAAGGCTTATGTCCAGCAGTGGACAGTAAACGACTGAAATAATGATACAGGAAAAATTCATTAAAATCCGTTGCGTAGTTTAAAGTCTGGTAGAAACTTGCACGTTTAAAGCAAAATGGGTATCTATTATTATTACCAGTGACTCAGAACTCCAATTCACACATCGTTAGGTTCGTTTTACTATTTTGTGATAACGTTCTGTTACTTAAAGTGCTAATTCTAGTAGCCGTCATAAAAAATGTTTCAGTGTCAACACGTTTGTGCCCGCATTGTTCTCCATCTATGTCATTGACACATGTCGAATTTGACCAGTTTGCGTGACAGACGCGACCTTGTACCCGGTATCGAATGTTTTTGTCGCCACTAAGGTGTATTATGTCAGACATAGTTTTTTTTTTGTAATGGTTGAAAATGGAATGGTAAGCCTGCGCTATCGGTATTGTCTAGCGGAGCACCAGTGAGGGATGATAGATGAGGATGAAGCAGATCAGTTGGCCCATCGTGATGAATTCATCATAAGTCCCATTCGTGTTTCAATCGTGAAGCAGTTGTGTTTGCATGGCAGTGTTTCGGTTTGAAAGTTGGGATATGGAGTGAATTTACAGGGTACAGAGGAATAACATCTGAGTCCTCAGGAATGGCAACGCATGGGGGGTACCATGGGCGAAACAGTATACTCTGTTATCTCCATGGTACTGCTCATGTTTATAGGCGACGGTTACCACTTTCCATCAGGTGGGTCGTCAGCTCGTTTGCCATTCTAAGTTGTATAAAAAAAAAGTTAACTGCGGTGGATTCCAGGGGGAACCGCGTGGAGGTCAACCTGTTGGGTTAAATTGCTAGTAATGGACACGTTAAATCTCCTTACTTATATTAAATAAACAAGAAATATTTCAAATAACTCTAGATGAATTGAAAACAAATGGCACATCTGTAGAAGTTATATGCCTTAGTGAAACTTTTCTAAAGTCCAATGATGAAAAAAACTTACACTCAGGGTTATTGTTTAGCAGATTTTTATTCCAGACCAAATCAACGACGAGGTGGTGTATGCATACTATGTAAAGACCATTACAGTTTTAACAAAATATCCATGCTTTCTGAATATGCTATACTTTTGAGTGTTGTGGTATTAGTATTCCACAAATGAAGTTCTTTATTATATGTATATACAGAATTCCTAAATCTGACCCGCAGTTATTTTTGAATAAACTCGAAACTTTATTAGACAAACTACGATACAAAAAAAATTATAAAATTATAATAGCAGGAGACTTTAATATAAACATTTTAAAAGATAGCAATATTCAGACTGATTATATAAGAATAATCCAAAATTATGGATTTACAATACATATCAATGAACCAACAAGACAACATGCTTGTCTCGATCAAATCATTAGTAATGTTTTCAATGTTATAGGACATACACACAAGGTAGGATTATCAGATCATGAGACATGCCAAACGATCCATGTTCCAATTCTAAAAGAACAAAAGCCGAAGAAGATGTGGTTTAAATTTAAGCGTGACCATAACGAAGACAATATGAATAAATTTGTGCAATGTTTGAGTGGTTTCTCTTGGATGGAGGTTTTTGAAGCAACTAAATTAAATGACGCATTTAATTTTTTTTGAAAATCTTATTCTTTTTTATAAATTATGCTTTCCTATGTGTAAAATAAAAATAACAAGCAAATCTAAGAATTCTGAATGGATTACGAAGGGATTAAGAAAATCATTTCACAAAAAGAAAATTGCGGTTCAAATATTACAAGAAGAAAAATCAAGAAAGTAGGACCCAGTATCGTAAATATGCTGAATCTTTAAAGCAATGTATATATGTAGCACAAAAACTAAATAATAAAACATATCTAACTAAAGCAAAGAATATAAATAAGGCCACTTGGAACCTTATAAACAAACAAGATCAACTTTATAGGCGAGATAAATATATACATCGACTATATCATGACAATAAGATTATAACCAATTGTAATGACATATGTAACATTTTTAATGACTTTTATATAAATATAGTAAAAAAAAAAATTCATAATGACAAAATAAAACCGACTAAACTTACTCAAATAAATTATCAGAAAAACAGTATGTTTCTATCACCAACAACATGCGATGAAATATATAAAATCATCATATCTTTAAATAATACAGAATCCGTTGGATATGATGAGTTTCCAACAAAGTTATTAAAAACCTGTGCACATATAATATCTCCAATTTTAAGTTATTTAATAAACTTATCTTTCATAGAAGGGACATTTCCAGATTTACTTAAAATTTC